TCGACCATTTTCAAGATATTAGAACTTTCTCAAATGGCAGGGGGTCGGGATGACCCCTGGGGACTAACCCTGTATATCATTCAGACCATCTTAGCATGACAAACCAGAATATATATGGTTTAGGGGTGGGGATCTTGACCACTTACAAGGTATTAGAACTTTCTTTAATGGCAGGGGGTGGGGATGACCCCTGGGGACTAACCCTGTATTTCATTTAATGGGTTTTATCATTTAGAACATTTTCAATTAAAAAGATTGTGTCTATCACAAACGGTTTTCAATTTATAATCATTTGAAAATTTAAAAAAATAAAATCCCATAGGGTTCTATAGTAAAACCCTCTTTTCTTTTTGCCCCTCAAAGTACCCCTTTATAAACCCCATAGCACAAACAAAACCCTGATTGCACCACTAGACATGTTAGTCTAACATATTGTGAAACCCTAAGTTAATCTGACAAGCGGTTTTGGAGAACGGGTGCGGACAAGTTCAAATTTAAAAGCGGCGGAAGAGGAAGAGGAAGAGGAAGAAGAATAATAATAATAATAAGAACTGAGCAAAAACAATAAGTCTTCCCAAACTTCGTTTGGGAGACTTAATAAATTGAGAATGTTAAGATGGAAATTTCTACATTACATTTTACCAACCAAACAATTAGTTTTCTCTTGGAAAATAACTAAAACTCCTCTATGTAATATATGTAATGTCATTGAAGATTATGATCATTATTTTCTGACATGCAAATATCTAAAATCATTTTGGGATCAAAAAAACTAATACTAGACAAACTTAAAATAGGACATCATATAATATCACTGGCGTCACTTTTGTATGGATATAAGATAAACAATACAAATTATTACAATATCAACGATTTTCTAACAATCATACTTTTTACTATATATAAAGTGTATTACATATCTGAGCAGAAAACAAAACAAATTAATGTGTTTGAAATGTTTAAAAGTGAACTTCTCCAACATTACGAAATATTGACAAATAAACAAGGCAAATATAAAAACTTCTACAATTTGGTTGCAGAAAAAATTAATTTATCTTCTTAACTAAGATTTATAATATATCATGGTAGTTTCTTTTTATTCTGTTATTATTTATTAGCAAAACAAAAAAAAAAAACTCATCATTGTCTCACACAAAATATCTGTTTAATTCAAGTCTAATACATTCCTTTGTTTGGCACAAATTTCTCACCCCTTCATTGCAACGTCCTTTAGCGGTATCAAAGCTTAAGAAATATATACAAGATTGTGAAGGCTTGCCATTCCTGCCTGCTCGACCACTTTCTTGTGAAAATTGTTCAAGTCCTCGAGGTGCTCCCCAATGAATTACTCTTTCAATGTCAGGTATATCAACTCCCATGCCAAATGCAACTGTTGCAAACACAATTCGAATAGAACTATCTTCATTTGGGAACTCATTCAACACATGATTCTTATTTGTTTCTTCTGTAGACCTATGATACATTGCTACAAGTCTATTGTCCAAAATATCTCTATTGTGTTCAATACCACTTACAAAGTACTCAAACAAATCTGCACATGAAAGAATACTCCTACAGTATATGACCGTCTTCTTTGTTTTTACAGAGTTAGTTTTCAAGTCTTTTAATAGCCACTCTAATTCATGGACACTTTTGCTCGACTTTTTCAAAGAATATGTTATGTTGGTGCGTTCCGGTAATTTTGAAATAGTTTTAGTCCCATTTGGATTCATCTGCAATTTTTTCAAAATTTCTGAATGCATGGATGGATTTTGTTGAAGTAGCTGTAAGGGCAACAAAAGGAGTTTTTTTCTGGCACAACTGATCGTAATTCTGCAAGCCTGTCATGGTGTCTTCTAAATTATCCACCCCTGCCAAAGAAAAAATAATAATAGATACCATATAAGCATTAAAAGTTTAGTCAATAATGATTGATTGATTGTTAGTCGTTAACACAGCATTAACACAAAAAGGCTATATCGCTGCTTGAATTTAGTGAATAATGGCAAAAGAAATATATACAATGCAATTGTTTTTTTTTTAACTTAATCTGTTAATAGTGGTACATAGCATATAAAATTAATGGACCCAGCATTTCAGTAGCTGTTGTTGGTTCATGTCTGTTATATTGTTTTTTCATAGGTTTCATTGTTACAAATGTATAATCTAGGCTGTAAGAAATTTTTCTTTAATAGCCGACAATATAATATGTTTTTTTCTCATTGTTTCAAGTCATAAGACAGACCATTATTGCTTACATTCACACCATTTGAACTATAGTGGATACTTCATACATTGGCTTTTTTTTTTAAACATTTGGCAATCATACCACTGCACATCATCAGAGAACATCTCCTCATTATCATAAAAGACAGTATCAATGTTATAAAAAATAATATCTTACCACTGTGTGATGCAATGTGCTTCATCTATTGCAACTGCTTTGATATGACTATGAAATTATCCTTTGGTCAAACTAGTGCGCCACAACCCTGGTGTAAGGGCTGCCTCCGGCGAGGAAAAGACTATGGAATATTTCCCTGCAGAAATTAATGTTCTCAACAACGCCTTTATCTGGTTGACATTCACCTACTACAGTTGCACTTATGTTTAATTTTTCTAATTTAGATATCTGATCCTTCATTAAAGCTTGAAGTGGTGAGATAACTAGCACTGTTGATTTTTCACCTGACAGTTTTTCAAATAGCTCCGGTAATGGAAGTAAATTCGTGATTTACCATAGCCTGTTGGTAAAATAACAACTGTATCATTCATCTGTAGTATATTTTCAATAGATTCTCTTTGTTTATCTTTGAATTCAAACATATATTTATCCTCTATTTCACTTAGATAGCTATCGATCTCCATGTTTGTAAACACACGTAAGATGGCCAGAAATCGCGAATGCGCATAATCTTAAGTTCGTTCTCCGCGATTGGTCAATACAATTTATATTGGACTGACGCATCCAATGATCACTTTGATTTCAAGCCCTCTGGAGGACAATGACCGTAAGGGGGAGCTGTAATTATTCGAGTTAAACTAACAAGTGTACGACTGCTTCAATTAACTCCAATTAACCGACTTGAAAACTGCAAGCTTCGCGACTACATTGAATTTCCAAATAAGGTAAAAAGTGGGCGGAGCTTAAATTCCGCTTGCGATCTTCTTTTGATAAATACAGCTTTCACTCCAATTATTATCATTACTTGATGTGAAAATACATTATAGTATGAAAAAAGACACCATATATATGAGATATATTTTAACATTTATGCGATGCACGTAGCTTACCTATTGCTACATTTATTACTGTGTCTGTAACGTCAGAAATCGCCCGCCATTATGAAATTTGATCCAGAAAGGGGAAATTACTCCTGCACTATTTTTTAATTCGGTTTTGCGGGAAAACCACCTTAATGTCGCTGCGTGCAACACTCATTGCTCACTATTTCAACATTCCGTTCTATTTAACAGGGCAGCAGAAAATAAATTTACTTATACCTATTATCTTGGATGTAGAAACTAGGTGGCGCCAGTCATCATTAATTATTTCTTTTAACCTAACAGAGGGATGTTTACAAACTTAAATAAAAGATTTAAAAGTAGATATTAATAATTGACCCAATATAAGAGTTTTGACGACCATTCAGTCCAGTAGATGAAAACTGCTAAATATACTGTTTCAAAAACACGCCGTGGATCTAGGTCAGCACAACAGAACAAAGTAAAGTAATTAACATTTGTAAACAACGAACTATAAAGTATATTTATAAACAGCTTTAGCTTAAATGAAATAACTATTAATAGACTAGTACTTGGAATTTTGTGCGCAAACCACTTCTCAAAACCATATATAATCGATTACTTAATTTTTCGTACAATAAAGTTTTTCACTTTTGTCTATTTCCTAAATTAGATTGTTATCTAAAAGAAGAACTCTCATTGGACGATCGTTTATCTTTCTAAACCAAAGGAATCTAATAAAACAACACCAGCCATCCTGGCAATATTGAGGGTTCATAAATTCATTTATTCTCAACATAAATGCCTATATTGTTTACCGTAGTAGATCTGCTTGTCGGTATATCAACACTTGGTACGATAATCAAATTTATTCAAATAAATTATCATGAAGATTTAATAAAACATAAAGATTGATAAAACCAAACTCCGTTTTGACATTACTTGTGTCTGTGTCTTGCAAGAGTTACCGGACTTTTACTGTCAGATTTAAGGAATTGATATAAAAGAAGCTCCCTTTTTATTTCATAAATTTTCTGGGTTGTCCTTCAGGAGTTACAGTAATTTACCCGTCAGATTTAAGGCAATTTAAATTAATCACACACTAACTATAATGTCCCTGAATTTATATTCATAAAACTAAATTTTATTGTTGAGATTGATAAAATGAAGCTCCACTTTATATCGTAATGTTCTAATTTGTCTCTCTTTAACTTCAGATTTATTTTAGAGTAGTTATTTCACCTTAACATGCATGAGTATTAATTATTGAAATTGGTAAAAATAATCATTTAATTTGAAACTTTTCCAATTTGTCATTCCAGAGCATCTTTCCGATCCGGATGGATTAAAAAAGTTTTACATTTGATTTTGTCAAATTTTATGGACTTTCCCATTTGAATTTTCCGTGCAATTTAGTATTTTTGTTATATTTCTTTCCATATCTATTTATATACATGAACTTCTAAAACATTTATCCTGGGATCCTGACTCACTGCTCGACAGTAGAACCAGGTGGAATACAACTACATGTGTGTTTGTTTATTGGATGTTTGAACGATGCATTGGGATAGCATCGATTCCTGACAAATGGCGGTAAATATTTAAATAGACACGAATTAGTTCAAAATGCATCCAAACCTTTTTTTAAGTTACTATAATTTCCATTGCATTCGATAGTTAATGTACTATCCAATATATATATATATTTTGTTTATAAAACATACACATGCGCAGTAATTCAGTCATATCTGCTCTGAAAAATGGTTACGTGGATTATATTGCGTCTGGACTCACTGAAACGAAAAGAAGGTGGGCAGATGCTAGAATGTTCTATTCGTTCGGATCTCTACGGAAGTTTTTATTGATATATAAGAAAGGACACGAAACAATCACAGTGTAACACGTCAGCATTGGTATAAGTTGAACAGTATATAACACAAGGCAAAATACATACTCCTACGATACTTGATTAAACGGATCGTTACTTTTTTCAAGGTAAGACTTGCAATTTACCAAATTTAACGTCTATCACTTGTAGAAGTTAATGTTTGCCAACACATATTAATTATTTGTTTACTTCGTGGCTATCTTTACGCCCTGCATTTTGGCCTGTATGTACATATTCCTATGGGAGACAGACGCAATCTAATATGTCCACATTTTTTTTTTGCTGTTATTGTTGTTTGGTCTGTCACATATTAGACCTATTGACAAGTCTGGTATGGTCAAGGTAACCTGATCGCTGGTCTGATCTGGTCTAGATGACCTGTCCACAGATCTGGTCTGGTTAAGCTGATCTGTCCACAGGTCTGGTCTGGTCAAGTTGACATGTTCTCAGTTTTGGTCTGGTCAAGTTGACCTGTCCATCAGATCAGGTCTGCTTCTTCAGACCTGTCCTTGGGTCTGGTATGCAGCAGTCCAAAATGAATAGACTAAGGTCGGGTCTGATAAAGATGAAGTTAACTTTCATGTCTGCCAAATCTTTTTAGAATTATTTTAGAGAGCAGCCATAAGGACTACTCTAAGTTAACTTTTGTACAGGTAAGTACTTCACCCACCTGTAACTTTCATCAGCATGAACCATCACAGTGTATGTTTGATACATTTTTTGCTATTCTTGTACAAACAGAACAGAACAAACCTTGTAGATAACTAAATGTTTTAATTAAATTCTAAAAATTAAGTTTTTGTTTCAACATTAATTTATAATATAATTGAATTTAAATATGTGTATGTGTCACAATCTAAAATATATTTAGTCTACACATTCGACGATCAAGATTGTCGATAACGAATACTTTTCAAAGATAATGTAAGTCCATTTTTTTCTGTAAAGGAAATGATGGAAATATTTAGTAACAGTAATGGTACCGATTTTTCTGCACCAGATGCACATTTCGACAATTAAGTATAATGTTTAATATTGATACAATTGTTAAACAAAGTTTCTCCTTTTTCAGACATTTGTTTATTAATCATTTAAGGCACAGGAGCGGAAGCTAGTGTGTAAGCACATACACTTTATATGGCCAAAAATAAGTATTTAAATGTAGCGTACAGAGGGTCAAGTTACAAATTTAGTTTAATATTTTTCCCTGGTAGCGTGATCAAAAGCTACAATTGTCGGTAACACAGTATAACCATTGGTAGCATGGCCTAAAGGCACTGATTTTATGATATTTAATAAGAGACAAGAATTGTTTAAATCTTGCAATTAGCAACATGTTTTAATATACATTAACAACATAAAAACCCACCAGAGCATTAAGAATAACTATGAACCCCTTTTGTACTATTTGGTTAAATGTAAACATTAGCGTAAAATCAACGTGCGGACGTAATTAAATATTTGGGTCAAAGTCAAAGATCAGAAATATAAATAAATACAGGGGTAAACGTACACAGGTAATTGTATTAATCCTGGTAGTGGTTTGTAAAGATTGCGCTGGTAACACTCTGGTATGTTTTACAACAGGACTAGTAAGATCAAAATCCGTGGTAGCGGGTCACAATCTTTCTTTTGCAGACGATCCGAGGGTTTAAATACGGGACGTTTCATTGGTTAACGGTCCCCATCCATGATAACGGGATTATCACGCCATACTCATATGTATACTGTGGCAGGAAACCAATTACGATTATGGCGGTTTCTTGTATTTTGACCTTGTACGTTGGAAAAGGAGGGACAAGGGCTTAATGAAATGCTACAATGTTTAAGTCCAGATTACAGATTGTGAGAACAAGTGACAAGCAAGGGGTGATGAACTAAAGTATGTCTTGGGGCATCGGTTTGTCTGACATCGGGAAAACAATTAGACGAACATATGCCTATCATTCCCAAAATATACAATAACAACCAATGAATACAATATAAAGTAAAACGGAACGCGGTACCTGCAATAGAAATAGTGTTCGTATAGTTCATTCACTCGACACACACGCGATATTGATATCACAATGGCAACGAACGTGTAAAAAACAACAAGTAAAAGGGGATTGAGTAATGATACAAACCTACCTAACACTTAACCTCATCATTATCCCTAACGTTTCATAAGTACATGTTTCTGATTATTAACTGCCAAGTATGCAATCTCTACCCCCTGACTCTGTGAGACATGTAGTATTTATGGTATTTTAGACGTTTGGCTGTGTTGGTTGTTAATATACTCATACACTCAATAAGAAAATATTTTTTTTTATTAATATTCAAAGAAATATTAAACAATTATGTCATGTAGTCCTTTGTTGATTTGTGTATATCATGATTGTAGTTTTGTTTAGTTTTATCTATTATCTATTCTAACATCGGACATGAACTTCTTTGAACTGAGTTTTACTATGCGTTTTGATGTGTGTTTGTTTTTTCCATATAAGCAAGAGTTACAGAGGGAGATTGAGATATCACAACACATGTTTAACCCCTCTATCCTTCGTTAGTTTTGTGTTTGTTTTAAATATTGGTTCATTTGAATGTTTCGGAGTTTAGTGTGGCGTCCGTTTGACTGAACTAGTATGCATTATTGCTTAGGGGGCCAGCTTAAGCCTGACTCCGGGGGAGTGATTTTCAAGCTGCGTAGGCTGTTTTCTGCTCTTTGGTCGAGTAGTTGTCTCTTTGACACATCACCTTTTCAATTCTCTATTCTGTCAAAGTGATTTATGTATAAGAACAAGCAAAGCTTTGGTCAACAATTGGTAAAACTTCAAATAAGTTTTGTTTTATATTTATACAATTATGAGTGTATCAACAGCCAAATATCAGCACATGACATGAATTATGACATGAACTATCATTGATATAATCATTGTTATAAATTAACTGTAAATACAACTTTAAATTTTACGAAGTACTAAGAATTTTGTACCCAATGAACTGATTACTAATACTTTAGTTGTATTCAGCAAAACCTTTTGTAATTATAAGTCCTCAATGCTCTTCAACTTCGTATTCTATTTGGCCTTTTTTACTTTTTCATCCAACAACACTGATGAGTTTTTTTGTAGAGGAAACGCGCGTCTGGCGTATAAAATGTTAAGCCTGGTATCTATAATGAGTTTATTTACGTCCATTTGGTCGATGCCATACTAGATAATATATCCTCCCCAACGGTATTATCAGCCCACTAGGTCAGCACTTTTGTGTTGACATGAATTGTAATTGATATGGTCATAATTGTAAATTAACTGTTTACAAAACTTTGAATTTCTATGAAAAATATAGGATCTTCTACCCCATAGATAACCTGTATTTATTATTATTTTTTGGTTCTCAATTATCTTCAAATTTTTACTTTAATTGGCCTATAAACTTTTTATCCGAGCGTCATTGATGAGTTTTTTGTAGACGAAACGCGCGCCTAGCGTACAAAATTTTAAGCCCAGTAGTCAGCACTTCTGTGTTGACATGAATTAACATTGATATGGTAATAATTATAAATCAACTGTTTATAAACATGATAAAACTTGGATTTTTTCGAAATACTAAGGCGTTTCAAATTTAAAGCCTGGTATCTTTGATGAGTTTATAATCCATCATGTTGTTATACATACAAAAATTAGACAACATCGTTATATCGATATAAAAAAAAATACATTGATTAAAAGAATACTTATTATTGTAAATTGATAAGTTGTAGAAAGACAAAATAAAATGGATTATCTTAACAGAATAACCATACAGTATATACAAGGTTACTTGAAATATATTTCAAACTGGTTTTTATTTGAATTGGAAGCTAACAAATCACCTTGAAGTTTTTGATTAAACAGCTGAATCTTTAAATACGATTCTCATTTTGTTGCTAGATATATAGTCAAAATCTTTCACATAACTACAGTTCCTTACAAAAAACAACTATATCATAACAAATTCTGTCTGAAGTTCACACAAATCAAATGTTTGAATTAACTACTTTTTTCAAATTATGCGAACTATTTGCTCAGGCAAATGAAATAAGTTTAGTAAAAAATGATTTAGTCTTATTTATGATTTCAATTCTTTTGTTATGCATTGACTGCACTTGCGGGTGATGAAGGAAAAATATATATTTGTTGCTACGCTATTGCTATATACTTTTTAAAGTTTTTAAGACTTCTTCATGTTACAAATCCCCAAGTGAAAAATGGGATTTAGAAATACTGTCACGTCGTTTCCTTCCAACCGTCAGTAAAACACCTAGCCAAATTTTGGCGTCTGTTTGGCTGTGCAGGATATTTAAATTTTGCAGGTAGGTTAATGCTGTTCAACAGTAAATCGGCTATTTATTCATAAAAAAATCATTAAAATTTGAAATTATTTTGAATTTTAGTCAAGAAACTTTCATACCCAGAACTAATTTTGATCATCCCTTATATCATCCAAACTTTTAATTTCTTGTGGTATAGTAAGATAACTATCATTGAGATAACGAACGGCAATAAGTCTTTCTAAAACAAATGATTCTTCTGATAAAAAAGAACACATTTAACCAGCACTAGTTCATGGAAGTATGAAGCCCCTTCTATCAAACTCATGTTTCATGAGAAATATTAATCTGCTCAGCCCTGATAAAGTTTTTTTTTTCAATGTTTTTTAAAAAGAAAAACATTTTTATATAGTTCACTGAAATTAGTATGGATCAGAAAATTGTCAAATGCGTAAATGGATCTTTTTAGAAACAATATCGGCTTTAAGCTAGAATTTCTAGAGCTATGTTCATTTGTTGAACATGCATCATTCAGTCATTACAGTCTCTTCAGTATAAAACATAGTAAATCAATAAATTTGAAAACATGTCCATGCATTGGTCCAGGATTAAAACCAGAAAAATTTATATAATACAAGGTCATGTAGGTAAATAAGAACTTATTTTCTATTGTTATAGAAAAAAAAATTAAAATAAGAGATTTCTTAATAGAGATGAAACTATTTATTTTATTCAATAAAGTTGTATGCATGGGAAAGCCTTTACTTCTTGTATCATTTGACTATTAAATACAGAATGTCTCATTATGTC